AATGGCAAGGACAGAACTAATATCTTGCTCTATTTCTCTAGGTGGCACTCACTCAGTAGCTTGGGAGCCCTATGTGGCTCTTTGACAAGCTACCTGTCACAATCTGGACCAGAAATGGCATAGGGTGTGCTGTCAGAGTGTGGAGAGAGAAAGGCAAGAGCACCAACTTGAGAAACATAGTAAAGGTCTGGTCCAAGGTTATGCACAGAGTTAGGAGTCTATTTACTGTGAGGGCTAGAAAACTTCTTAATGGTACTTTCTTGTGGGTCACTCCCATTTACAAGGAGTTTATTGCTTTCTTTTCAGCAGTCTGTCACACTACATTCCAACAGTTTCCATATCTGCTTTTTACAACTTGTCACAAGCCACTGCACCCATGAACATATTCTCAGAGGTGCTTCAAGCATCACAGATATATAGGGAAAGGCAGTGTTACACAGCTGTATAGTCGTCTTTTTTTTAAGTAGGAGAGACTTCTGTATTGGAAAGGATATAATTCAGGGTACTTAACACTGGTACACTTGCACATATAATAGTCTATATCAGTGTTAAATGATGTATGCACCATGAAAAAAGCAACATATACTGTACTTTTGTATTTGTTACCAAAAGGATTCTCAACTATAGCAAAAAGCATACTGAGCAAAAATACAGCAGATCGTAGTCTTAACTAATTTGTGAAACTGAAATCTAAATGGATTACTTCTATTGTATTATGTTCTCCAACAGAAAGCAAACTCTTTGGCACATAAAGGTTATCTGAAAGAACAGCTATTTATTATTTCCATATGCACAGCCCTTTCATTATCCAAGAAAGAAAGAGCTCTGCTAAATAAATCCATTTACGTTGCCATCCTAAGCAGGGTTCCTCCCTTCTAAAGCCACTGGAGTTTATGGGTTTAGAAGAGCGTACTGCCACATAGGATACCACTGTAATTGCACCTCACATGAAAACTGCACACTGGAATACTGTATGAGTGCAAAAAAAACAAATACTAAAAATAATAAAGCAGAATGGCAATAAAAGCATCTTCAGCTGAAGGCTAAATAAAAGCATCTTCAGCCAAACCCAAGTTCCATGTGTCACAGGACTCCCTGTACCACCAATACTAATACTTAACTTCTACTTTCCACTGATGGAATAATGTAGTCTTCTGACAACACACCTTTTAAAGTTGACAAATATTTACACATCTGTATCACTCATTATGTTTTTAACATGTCAACACAAACGTCCTGTTACAACCACATATGCCAAAGAACTGCGTTTGGCAGTGGCTCCCTGTTACATGAAAATAAGGTAGAAAAAATGGTTCGGTGACCATCTAATGTGCAAAGCAGTCCCTAATGCTCACTCCCCTTTGCTACCCTGGTTCATTTACAGCTTATCACATTTCTCCAATGAGCTTTTCTCTCAGTTTCTGCAAAACAGAAAAAAAATTGTCCACACATTGTTTAGACGACCACTTACTTAGAGAAGGAAAAAAGACTAATTCTGCCAATAGTTGAATCTGTTCAACTTCTAGTTAGCACATGTATAAAGAGACTAAAGGACGCTTTTTTATGATGTGATGGACAGATTTATCTAGGTGTAGTTTCACAATTTTTTTCAGAGTCCTCCTTCCAAAGCAGCCATTTTCTCCAGGGGAACTGATCTCTGTCATCTGGAGATCAATTGTAATTAGGGTTCCCAAGCACTTACCGCGATCCGGCGGGGGAAACATGCTCCCCGGCCGAACCATTCCTTCTTGTAACACAGCATGCAGTTGCCAGGAAGTGATGCTGGGTGACGCTCTGGCAATGGGGCTGAAAACTCGATGGTACCATCGAGTTTCGAGCCCCATTGCCAGAGCGTCACCCAGCGTCACTTCCTGGCGACGGCATGGTGCAGCGTGTCTGTTGTCCCCGCAGGAATGATCCTGCGAAGACGTTTGTGTCCCCCGCCGAATCACGGTAAGTATTTGGGAAGCCTGATTGTAATAGTAGAAGATCTCCAGGCCCCACCTGGAAGTTGACAACCTTACTGCTGGGGCTACAATTTAAAGAACAAGTCTGGTGTGAGAAGAGGAAGGCAATTTAACTTTTAAGGTTATCATCATTGCTTCGTCCTCAAGCTGGTACCACAGAACAGGTAAAACGAAACTTGGAAGTAGTGGTTTATAAATGGGGAAAAAGATAAGGGAAAAGGTCCCTTTCCCCCTATACTGTTTTTCTCTTTTAAATCACAGCTCCAGCAGCTACACTGTATAAATTACAGAACTACATGCAATGTGTAGTTTTGCCCTCAAGCTTACTATCAAAACTGTGCTGTTATGAAAAACTTGTCCAAAACAAGTGAATTTTTATTTTACTTAAAAACATTTGTACCATGCTTATCACCAAAAGGCCCAAGGCAACTAGCAAGAAGACATCAAATAACTGAATAATAAGAGATTAAATAATTACATAACGATCCAAGCAAAACTAGTCAAATATAAAAAATATAAATTCAGTCCGCAAACCCCACCAAAAACCAAATGGTTGTAACAAAACGGTATTCTCCCTCTTAGGAAAAGGACACAACCAACATCAGTGAACAGTAAAACAAAGCTAATTACTATCCATTTCAACAGGAAGCCTTGTGGGAAAAGCAGTACCTTGTAAGCCCTCCTGAACAACAAGGAGGATACAGTGTGTTGCTGAGCCCCAGGGCTGAACCAGATAAGATGCTGGGAGTTCTGTGATCCAAATTCCCATAAAAACAAAATCAAACAACAACTGTACTTTTCAGCCATGTGGGATTTTATTAGGACTGTGGCATGCAGAGTGGTGTTTCAGGCCTTCTGCTTCATGCCATTTCCTGACCAGAAACAACCCCAGGAGCCACCATTTGCCGCTCTGGGGGAACTTATAGCTACAAATACCGATACCCACAAGTTTGCCCCAATAGTGCAAACCGCAGCTTCCCCGGAGAAAATAACAGAGGGGAGAAGGCTTTAAAAAATCTTTCCATAATTCCAACGAGAACTAGGCCTCCACAAACCCCCAAAAAACACCAAAACCCTGGGAGCAGCAATCACAGAATCCCCTGCCTTGATCCTCAGATAGGCTATTGCCAGAGGAGGGGCCATACTATTTAAAAATGCCTGATTTCTAATGGAGACCAGGAGTGCAAAATGGGAGAAATTGATTAATTATCGTATGACATTGTGCGTAGAAGATCCGAAGATTGCCTGGCAGCCTTAAGTTCTAGTTCATTAGCGACATGCACTACTATGGGCTGAGCCAGACTTATTTTGGGGGCTGAGAGAGCTCTGAAAGAGCTGTCACTGACCCAAGGTCACCCAGCTGGCTTCATGTGGAGGACTGTGGAATTGAACCCAGTTCTCCAGATTAGAGTCCATTGCTCTTAACCACTACACCACACTGGCTCTCAAAAAGGGAGATAACAGAGACTAAAGAATTGGAAGATCTAAGGTGGCAAACACGTTCATGCTAGGAGAGATAGCCTTTCATATATGTGGGGCCCCAGATTGTGAAAGTCTTTAAGGATAGCTTCAAATTGAACCCAAAAGGAAGTAAGCAACCAATGTACTTTCAAAATTTCATACCAATAATAAATTGCATATATTTAAAGCAAACTGAAAAAGGAAATGCTAGAACTTTATGCATTTTACCTCAAAGAAGCCCCAAAGCTAACACTGTATACTTCATTTTAGGCAAAAATGTCTGAATGCAAAGCATTCACTTCCCCCACCCCCATCTACAGAACATTTCATGTCATTTTATGTCTACTAGCTGGATATCAAAACATCTATTGTCCTACCAGTCATGATTATAATGGTATTTCTCCCACGTAAGTCCAATTTGTTTCTATAAAATATATCTAGCAGCTGTACACTAGAAAACCCACTTCTATATTTCACTACATCATAGTTATGTATTTAAACTACTGCAAAGCAATATGTATAATAACCCAGTAAGTTAGCCTTAGGCCTGCCAGCCTTTAGTGAACATAACATGCACAGGTATCAGAGGAAAGAAGTGCATGAGGTATGAAGGCAAAGTGTGCCCTGTCATTTTTTAAATGTTGTTACTCACTTGTTGGCCCATTACAAAATATCCAACATACATTATCTTATCCCTCCTTAGTCACTTGCTTTTTTAAAAAATATTACATATGCAGTTACAACTATAAACACACCAATATCAGGGGGTGAGGGAGGAGAAGATAACTTGAGACAGGTCAAAGTAGTCAAGGCTGTTCAAGGTCAAAAACAACTTTCTTCATTCCTCCAAAAAAAGAAGCAACTAAGCTGCCTTATGTTGGTGGATTTACAAAAAAACCAAAACAAGTTTATAAAATGAAAGTTGGAACAATACAATAGGTAGGTAAATAAATATTGTGAAACATTGCTCCAGGCTGAACACTGAAAGGTATTTAACACCTTAATGCAAATAAATCTAGAGTATTGAACAGTGACAGATCAGGGGACCAGACACAAAATGCACAGTCCCATACATATGCCCAGTATCATACAAATCACAGTGGATACTCAAGGCATGAACCGAACAAGACAAAACGTAATTTGTTTCTTACATATGAACTCGTTCTTTAATAACCCACTCAGGCACTGGGTACTGACATATTCTTTTCTAAAAGTTATTTATCCCAACAGAAAACTTTCAAAACTCTTTGAAAAAAGGAATATCGCCAAACTGTGCTTGAAAGGGATGTCCAATGTTAATTCCTGAGGAATCAAAAGTGGAATATCCAGTCTTTCCATTTACAAGTAGCCATCATTGGGCACATTAGTATACTTTATCTTATGCTTATGTACTTGAAACAAAAAGTAGATTATTCAACCTCAAGTTTTCCAACATAATACAAACATAATTGTATCAATCATGCTAAAGTATCACACTTACAGAAACCTATACAGCCAATATCCACAGAGAAAGCAGTGCAATAGAAGCCTGCTTCATGGGAAGGGAACAGAAAAACTTAAAATGCCACTTACTCAAAGGCAAAGAAGAGTCCACTGGTAACCAAGATGAGAAGAAGTGTCAGGTAGAAGACTCCAGTCTGACGAGCCATCATGATCCTTCCATTGCAAAAAAACTTGTTTCTCCCAGGGAAGACCTCCCATTTTCTCCTAGAAGCTGTTTTCTTTTTCTTATGGGGAGACTCCATGGGAGAAGAGGAGCTGTGAGTGCTGATCTGACTGTATTCACAGTCTTTCATGGGCCCTCCACCACCACCGCCGGGAGTCATCAAGGGAGAATGAGGAAGGGGAACAGTCCCCCAAACTAATCCTTTTCAAGAGAAAGTTTCCCAGAAGCCACTACTAGTAATTTTAGTTTTAAAAGTTTGTCACAGCTTTGTATAATACCCAGTTAACTGCTGAGAGACTAAAGCTGTCATTTCAGAACTAGTAAGCACACAGTCTTTCCCTTCTTTACAACAAAATTAAAACAGTTCAAAATAATCCTTTAGAACTGCATAATCATATAACAAAAGGAACTAGAAAAGTTAAAATATAAATCAGAAGTTCCTATCCAGTCATAAAACTTTAAAAGAATTTTAAAACATTGTGCCTTTTGCTTAAATTGCTCAGTGTGTTCTTCACATCCCCATCTTTAAGGAGATCTTGATTCAGCATGGGAGGCAGGCAACTCTGTAGCTCAGTAGCTTCTTTTCACAAAGGTTTGTTGAAATGCATATGATTCTACAAAAATAAAAAATCCTATTAATTCTTTCAAACACATCAATCCTGATCCAGGACCAGCTGCTGAGAAACAATCCATAACATTCGACTTCTTCCAGGGATCTCTTCCTAAACTCTGCACCTCACTATGCGTCCTCTGTTATTTTTCTTCTTGTTGCTTTGAATTACAAGGGGAATTACTACTTCCCTCAAGCTTTCCTAAGCATGAACGAGGCTGTTCTATATTACAGTCAAGCCCCATTTCCTGGGGAGGAAGAATTAGACAGGGCATGAGAAGCCAGCCTTCATCTTTATTTGACAGCAGAAATACCCTGCTTATCGTATTCACACACACACCCCTTTCTTTAGGAGTCAGCTGCAAGGTACAGAGGCGAGGTGGTTGCTCCTCAGTCACAAGCCACACTCTATTTTCCAGATCCCGGCTCGCTGCCTCTTCTTTCTATGGCTCTTCCTTCAGTCCTGTAAAAGAAGCCGTCTCAGGGCTTCACCTCTCCATTCCAGCTCGGAAGCAGAAGTTATTCACGCGGATGCCGGCGGCACCGAAGGCCCGTCCCCAAGTCCGCAGCCATCCCCACCACCTTCCAAACTGTCGGTGGCCCCAAAGCCAGACCACAACGACCCTCCGTCTGAGCGCCCCCTGCCGTCGACCGCCTTTAAACACCGACACAGGCGCGCGGCGTTCCCCGTCCCCTTTATCTAGGCTTATCCCCAGCAGCCAGCCTCAGCCCAAGCAGAAGCCGCCACTTCTTCCTTCGCATCTCCAAGGAGGGAGACCACACCGCGAAGCACAACACCAAAGCGCCCCCCCAGAAACAACGACGGGGCGGCGGCGGCCTCTTCTAACGGTTGTCAGCGCGCCCCCGTTCAAAAGCCGGGGAAGGCGGCTCTGAGGAAGGGAAGGCAGGCGCGGTTATAAAAGAGGCACCCTCGCAAGTAGGAGCGCTCTTCCTCCCGGGTTTCTCCCTCGTCGCCAAAGCGGTCACTTCTGGAGGAAGGCGAAGAGGCGACTTCTTGTCCAACCGTCCCCGGGAGCCGCTCGGAAGGCAGCTCAGAGTCGCCCAGAGCAGCGACCTCCCCCCCCTCCGGGGGACCTGCCTTTCGGTTTCATTGTCAGGCGTTGGAAGGCAACAGCGGTTTACTCTGCCCCTCAGCGCCTGCTTCACGGAGCTCCAGTCGCCAAGCGGAGGAGAGGCAAGACGGCTGTCAGAGCCTCCCCCCCCCCCCTTTTTTGCCCCCCCACACCCTCCCACAGACAAAGCTGTCAGCCTTTGTTCATTTTAATTCCATCTTTCTGCCTCGTTCTCTCTCTGGAAGCACACCACGGCAGCAGAGAAGGAGGTCGTGTCGGTATCCGGTGGCGTACACGTCCCAGGCTCCTGCCCTCAGCAACCGGCGGCAGTGTCTCCTGCCATCCCCAGGCGGCGGCAACGGGAACCTCTGCTGCTTTCCTTCCTCCCGGCCAGCAGTCTCCGGTCGCAGAAAGCGAGATGCGCCCCCGCCTCACCACCAATGTTAGTTTACCTCACACTGAGGACTCAAGCTCCCTCTTCCCCACCCCTTGGCCACGTCCGTCTCTCCCTTCTCCTCCCATTCCACCGAGTGACCTTCTGGGAAATGTAGTCCGTTCTGTTCTTCCGCGTGCACCCACCATAGATCATAAAGAATATGCGTGTAGCCGATAGGAGGGCAAATGAAGTTAGCATGAGGGAAAGGAGCAGAACTACAAGTCCCAGAGTGCAACAGATGTCTTTTCCCCTTTCATTTTTCTTGGTGAAGCATATCCTCAGAGAGATGGTTTATGAAGGGGTGTGAGCGAGAGTGGGGGACGGGCGCAGCAGGAAGAACAGAAGGAGCATGTATTTATCTGTTACATATTTCAGTTATGATTACTATTACTCCTGTCAATACTTCTAAGTAGGTGTGAAGGTGTTTGTAACATATAGAAGAACTATACTTCGGAGTATTCCACCCTTGTGGAACGCCCTGGTTGAAGAGGTCGGGAAGGATCCCAAACTTCTGGCATTTCACAAACTTTGTAAAACAGATTTGTTCAGAAGGATATTTTTATAAAGGTGTTAGGGCTATATTACTAAGGAATGTTTCAGATGGTTCAAGGAAGGGAATGGGTCTGTGGATTTTACTACTATATGGTATGTGTTATTCTGTGCTATATGCATTATGTTGTTTTCAGTGCATTGTATTTCTACTTATGTAATACAATTTACTGCTTATGTAAAATGTCACACATAGGCCCCGGTCACAGGGGCCAGATAACACTGGGGGGGGGGGAGACGTGGCTGTTTGCCCCGGAGTAAAATAAAGTGTGGTAGCCTGATCACATGGTCCCCTGAGTCTCCGCGCTTAGACTGGTAGTTGGCAATCACAGGGCGATGCTGGAGCGTGGCAAAGAAGTGGTGTGGCAAGCGTTTTGCGTTTGTGCGCATGCGCAGTTTCACGGAGCAGCACTGCTTTCAGTTACGTGTTTGTGGGCATGCGCTTAAGAAAAGCATTCGGTTTGCGATAGGATGTGGACAGGCACCGGATGCTATGGGATACTAGCGCTCCCGCAATCAGCCACCCGCCCCTGCCCTGCATTTTGTGGATACTACTAGTGCACTTTCCGCGGTACTTTTTTACTGCGCATCTTCGGCGGGATGCCACGGGTTGGCCACGGGTGCGCTACGCTTCCCAGATGTTGCGGTGTGATCGCACCCTGAAAATCCGCCTGTCATTCGTGCCTTTAGTGCAGCAAATCCTCCGTGTGACCGGGGCCATAATTACTTCTCCTTTGTTCAGATTTTTGCAGTCCCAGTCCTATCTGATTGCTGATGTCTCATCCTGTTGATTGCAGTGACTGACACTGTGTAATCTGCTTTGAGTCTCAGTGAGAGGCGGACTATAAATAACATAGATAAATGGACTTGTAGAATTTCAGATCAAAGTCTACAAGAACTTGCACTTACACTCCTGATTTTCTGGTCACAAGGGTTCAGCTGCCTCCCCCCAAGGCCTCTAGAATTTAAATATCCCCACACATTACAGAGTATGCACATTGGGTCTAGCTTCCAGAAGGACACAGCTTCAGCCTCCTTCCCCCCCCCCCCATACCATTTTTCTTGGTGAGAAACAATGATAGGGTGCTATTTGGCCTGTTGGTGAAACCCATGAGTGTACATGCAGAGTTCCCCAAGTGGCCAAAAGGTGCATCCCTGAGACTACTGTATGCTGAAGTCCCTTCTCTACACAAACCACAGCTGCAATCCAAATTAGGATGGGGACTGAGGAAAACCAGCAAATCATATGTCTCCGTTACACAGGATCCAGAATGGGAACCTCAGAACCAATCTCTGTTCTCCATAATGTGTACATCTGAGAAATGGGTGTGTCTTCTTTGTAGCACATAAGTAGTGCTCAGGCTGCCATTTCACATACTGTGTCCACTGAGGAATGTTTTTGAACTTTTGATAACTTATTGTAGGACACTTAGTTTTTCAAATCTATATGTAATCAAAAGAACAAGCACCTCTGTGGCTCTTGAATCCCTGGAGGATAAACTCTTGCAGAATAAAATAAGGCAATACACATTAAGCAGAGAAAAGCCTTCAGGTGGTATTGATGTATAAGGCTTTGGCAGTGATATTTAGTTGGTATTTTTATACTTTATTTGAGAATGGAGCTTCAAGGTAGGTTACAATAATTTAAAGCATAAAGCACAATACATTATGGTAGTCCAAAAGTAAATAAATAAATAAACTCCATTCACAATTTTAAGGAGACTCATAAAACAACCAGAGCAATTGATATTTGCAAGAACCTTTCAAAGGAGGTTATCTTCACCAGATAATAAAAGTTAGACAAAGAGGAGGATATACACACTTCTTGTGGGATAGAACTCCATAACTGAGGTGCTGCTAGCAAGAAGGCCCTGTCTCTCCTACCTACCATGCTTCAGCTGGTGAGGGCAAAGAAGAAGGGCTTCCAACTGTGATCTCAGTGTCTGAGTCATACAGGTCTATATGAGGAGTAATAGATGAGATATTATGGTATCAGGCTCTTTAGGGCTTTGAAGATACTTCAGTTATTTAATTTAGAAAGCCTCTATGTCACTTTCCCAACCTATGAATGCCCAGAGTTGCTCAAAATACAGTAATGATACAACATTAAATTAAAAAATACAATCTGAACTCTTTCAAAGGTCTTCACATTTCCCCCCCTAGAAGACTTTGAATTGATTGAACAAAACATGAGGAATATACCCCTGACAAGGTGGCCACACCTTGTTACATGTTTACTGAAGAAGGGGCATTATTGCCACAAAAAAGGGTGCAAGTCACTGGCTGTGAAGGGTTTTCTTTTCCAGGACATGATCTCCCAAATCAGTTCATTGTTACACCTCCTTGAGGCTGTTTACATTCTTTAAAAAGAACTGGCACCAGGGCCTCTAATATATGCTTTTGCACATAATGTATAGTTAGTTAACAAAACCTTTACTCAGAGCCTACACATGTAATTCATCTGTCCTGGCTTCAACAGGACATGGTTCTGAGAAAGTCAGACTATAAAGGAAATAAACAAACAATATACCACTTTCAAATAACCTGACTCAACATAGGCCTATCGTCATGCCATTAACCTGTACGTCGTCTACGATATGCCTGCGTCTATGCATGTATACTTCAAGTAAGATCCAATGATTGAATGGAACTGGGAAAGCTCACACCAGTCTGTTTAACATGAGAGGA